CTATCTCCCTGGGGGCTGATAGGAGATAAATGAAACAAACCACTTCTTCAAAGCACCCTGCTCAAGGACCCGGATCAAACACCAGGGCTTGGAAGTTAAGCTCCAGCCTACATTTCCTTTGTCCATTCCTTCCCACCACATCTCCAAAGGAAATTCTAGGGGGAGGAAAAGTAGTTAATTCCTCTTTCTTTTATCAAAAGGAGTTACCTCCCCACTACACCACAATGGGCCCTGATAGGAGAAGGGGGGGTGCTTTTCTCGGGGGCTCTGCCAGGGATTCACTGTGTGACTTTAGGCTCCCCCATAAAATTCTCGGTGTCCTGTTCTTCATCAGTCCAAAGGGATGAAAACACCTGCCCAAAATAACTCAGAAAATTGTTGGGGGGGGCGTGCGGAGGGGGGGATGATGAACACGGAAACACAGATTTGGGAAAAGATACTTTCACAGGTTTGTATAGTTGACATTTTGAAAAACACCAAGTTATCCACCTTGAATCTTTTTGGGAATCCAGTGAGGTGAGATGTAAACAAATAGCACTCTACAGGTAAAATTCTCATTCATTCAGCAACAAACATTCACTTATGACGGATGGCCTAGATTCACTTCCCAGCCCCACGTCTCAGGAGCTGGGACTTCGGGCAAGTGACTGAACCCCCACATCCTCCTCTGTGAAACGGGGTGAGAGAGGACCCATCTCTTCCGGCTTCTGCAAGGATTAGATGAGATACTGCGGGCAGAGTGCTTGTGGCAATGCTTGGCTCTCGGTGCTGGCCACTGGGAAGCTATCGCTAGGCAGTGAGAATACAAAGAGGCCGCGGACAATTCAGAAGCAGTCACAGTCCAATGGGAGAACGGGCAAGTCGACAAACGAGGGCAGATGCTGAGTGAGAAGCGTAATCATAGGACACAGTAGGCGGTGAGAGCGCAGAGGAGGGAGCTCTTTGGGCAGGCTCCCCACGAGGCTGGTTGTCCTCGCCCCTCGGGCCCTCTCCTGCCCAGGGCTGTGTCTGAAGCTGGGATGGGGCAGACAGAGGAAGTGCCTGCGAGGGCCCTGAGCGCAGGGCTCTAAATCAGGGCTCCCGGCCAAGGCGGTAATTGTCAGCTGCTGAAAGATATTAAGCGCCAGGGAGGAAAACCAAGTTCTCTATGAGGCAGACTTTTCAGAGTTCTTACAGCTTGTTAAAAAAAATGTAAATAGTTACCCAGTGAGATATTATTTCATGTTGTTGCCATTAGGGTTTGAGTGTTATGCAGAGAGAGGCGATCATTCAGGCAATTCTGCCTCAGCGAGGACTGAAAACTCCACATTAACCCCCACACAACAAATTCACCACCTCTAGCTCTCAGCCTGACTCAGGCATTTTCTCCTGGGCGGTGAATTTTATGTAAATTGAAGTAGTGAAAAAAAATCTATAAATATTCAGAATTTCCTAAAGGATTTTCTTGATGGCTTGGGGGGTGGGGGACATTTTTTAAAAAGACACATTTTGACTGGAGGCTGGGGGAGGGCTACTCTCATTTCGGGTCGAATTCTGGGACGGCTTGGGTCTTGCGGGCGGGCGGTCCCCAGTGCTAAGAGGCTCCAGATCCAGTTACTGCCGAGACTGGTCTCCAGAGTGCCAGCCCCACGGATGCATGGATCACAGCCATCATTCACCTGAGACTCCCCTTGTGCCAAGGGCTGAACATGCGGACACACGTTGTCTGCTTCTGGCCTCCTGACTCTTGGAGGCCACTCTTACATTTCATACATGGGGAAAAGGGAAGGGAGGTTGATTGCCCTGGCCCAGGCCCACCACAGCAGCATGGTTCGAAGGCCTGGCTCTGAGAGACCCGATTCCAAGTGACCGCTCTGCCACTCACCAGTCAAGTGACTTTAGGGAAGGGACTAACCTTTCCAGCCTCACTCTCTTCAGCTGGAAATGGGGAGAACAGTACCTAAGGCTTATGGAGTGCCTGACACACGGAATGGCACGGGGCATCCTCCAGCAGCCTTCACCCCATCCTATCTTAATGGTGCTGCTCACTCCCAGGGCAATCTGAGCAGGTCCTGGAGAGAGGGAGGCTCCTTAACCATACATCTGCCACTTTTCTGCAAGGCCAGGACAGGGGCCGTATGTCCTGTACAACATCTTGCAGGGACTTTTGAACCACCCCTACAGCGCCATGGTATGTATGTCATGCCTGAAATAAATATGGCCCAACTCAATACTGAGCCTCACTCTCTCCCAGGTGGCAAGCCATTCCTCTGAATAATGCCCTCGCTGTAGGCCACTGGGGCCCCTGTTAGGACTCCATAGGTTAGGGCTTCGGCTAAGTGAATGTCAAATACCGATTGCAGTCATCGTCTCTTCGTGTTTTAATTAGGCCCCTGGTCTAAGTATGGTATCCCATTTCCTCTCCTAAGGCAACTGGGTGGATTCAGCCAGAGGAGAACTGCTGCTCTCACCAGCACCCTGAAAGGAAAGGTGTCCCCATTCCCTTGCTAGCACTTTCCAGGAGAGGGGAAACAGGCCTGGTCTGGCCTCAGTGCTGTCAGGCATCCACTGTTCCTATCTGTGATCACTGCTGTGAGCTAAGAATGTGGGTGGGGTTTTGTGGGCATGTGCATGTGCGTGTGTGTTTAAGGACCATATATTACTACTGAGGCAAACTGCTCACCTCCCCCACCCAGAACCTACCCATTCTATGCTCATCCCCACCTTTCTCCTTTCCTTTCAATCATTCACTACCTTTTTCTTCTCTTTTCCTCTAAAGATTCTGTCGTCCTCTATCCTCCCCTCTCTCCTCTCTGCTGCCTCCTACCCCTCTTTTCCTTCCAAATTCCTCTTCTCTCTCCCCTCCCCTTTGCTCCCAACTGATTTCCCATTAATCATCCCTAGCACACATCTGCTTGGGTCCTGGAAGGATTTTTTGGCTGGCTCTCACAGCTGGGCTGGTTACAATAATCAAGAAGGCGTCTTTCATCTCTCTCTGCCTCCTGGGTCTCCTCTCTTCCCAGCCCGACCTCCTCCAGGGTGCCTATGGAGGCCCACCCTTTTCCAGTCTGTAAGGCTTTCTTCTGTTCTCGGTCTGGGTAGCAATTTCCCCAAAGCCAAATAGGCTTGTAGGTTGCAGCAGCTCTGCCATGGACTTTTGAATGAGGTACTGGCATTGGCAGTGAAGTCAGAAAGCACAAAGGCTGGCATGGGGGGGGCCGCAGAGACCACCACATAGATGGGATCGCCCCCCCTTCTCGCACCCCTCTTGCTGCAATATGGAAGACACCTCACAGCCCGGGCATCCCTTAGCATTGGTTTCAACCTGACTTTACCAGGATTAAAACTGGGGTAGGCAGAGCCTGTGTAATTTCTAAGAGGTCTATGCATACCCCAAAAAACAGCAGGGATGCAGGGAGTACATTTAGTTTAGTGTATGATTGATATGGCCTGGGAGTGGTGCCTGCTGCCTCCTTTCCTGAGCATGATAAATGGCCGGGATTGCTATTTGTTATTTCCGAGAGGGTTCTTTCTTTCCGTTTGGAGAACCCCTCTGAAATCACCTATCCCCATCCTGGGTTCTCATGTTGTTTCAAGGCGTAGATCAACGCGGCAGAGTCAGGGAGGGGTAGTCCCGGAGCAATATGCCCCGAGTGACAGGCCTGACAATCAGCGTGATGGATTGGGTCTGAGAAAGTGGTACTCGAAGGGAGGCAGTGACACCAGCGCGCCTCCACTGGCCGCTGAGAGCACGGGAAAGTAGTCTCCCTAGAGGCCGGCGCACAAAGGACCAGCTTCACCTTCTGATGATCCGCCAACCGGGAACTTTAATGTCAGTACTTATGACTCTGTAAAATCTCTGCCAAGCGCGAAGCCGGCCATACACACTTAATCTAAAAGGCGGGGGGAGGGAGGGGGAGGGTATTCTTATTTTTAACAAAAAGTTTTTATTCCAAGATTCCCCTGGGAAAAGCTAGTGCATTTTCCCCCACGAGAAGAGAAGACGGGAATGGGAAGGCGCAACTCTGGAGTCTGTATCGACGTGCAGCACGTAGAGAGAGATCCCGCCCCCCCTCTGGGATACTGGCCTCTCCAGTGATCCTGGGTCCCCCCCAAAATAGCAGCTAGGCGCGCTGCAGTGAGGGAATTGTGCGCCTCTAAACAGACACTGTAAGAAACCTGAAACACACCCAGGACCGAACCTATAAATCAGTGTGCAGGCAAGGCTTGCCAGGCGCGTCCGGGCGGTGGGCACAGCCTAGGACACCGCGCTTCGTCGCGTCCATCTCACCACGGAAGGGAGTCCTCAAACTTACAGGCTTCGGACAGGACAGGCTCAAAGTAGTTGGAGCGGCGACGCCGCGTCCCGAGAGCCGTGGACGCCTCCAAGGCTCGGGCGCTTCCAAGTGAGCACACCAGGGAGAAGCCAATTAGGGAAAGAGAGGTGGACCGGAGCAGAGCCGGAGCTGAGCCGGAGCAGAGCCGGGAGCAGGGCCGAGCTAGGCTGGCGCTCTGGAGGCGTGGCCCGCCCCTAGGCGGCCTCCGGGAGAGGCTGGGACTCCGCTGCGACTGAGCCAGCGCCTTGCGCCCCTATCCCCCCCCCGCCCCACCCCAATCCGCCCCACCCCAGACACACTCGGCTGGCGGGTGACTGACCCAGCCAGCACCACCCCCGGCGGTGTGAAGGGAGAGGGGAGGGAGACAGGAAAGCCAGCGGAGGATAGGGCGCGGAGCCCAGGGTCCTGGAGAAGTCTCGTCCTCTATGGGACCCCGGGGCAAGGGCGGCCCGGCTGGGGGGAGGGGAGGAGTACGGCGGGTGGTAGAGGCCGAGGCTGCTGCGGCGCGCGGGCGAGGCCCCTTTAAGTTTCTCCCCTCCCACCGGCGGCGCCGGCCTCCGCCCGCCGCTCTCCCCGCCCCGGGGTCCCGGCGAGAGCTGCGATTGGGCGGGCGCGGCGATCCCTTTGAAGTGTGGCTGCCGATCGCGGCTATTTGACGTGCGGCTCGGGGAAGGCGAAGGTTTTTGTGTTGCTCGCCGGGGCTAGCGGCGGCGGCGGCGGCGGCGGCTGCGGCGGCGTCGGTGGAGGAGGGGTGGAGGCGCAGCGACTGCTGCACCGCGCTCGACGCTGCGGAGCGAGCCCACCCGCTCCGGGAGCTCGCCTCCCTGGTGCTCCCCCTCCCTCCCCGCCCCCCCAGTGGCGCTGCCTCCTCCAAATGAGCGATTCGCCCGCTGGATCTAACCCAAGGACACCCGAAAGCAGCGGCAGCGGCAGCGGCGGCGGCGGGAAGAGGCCGGCGGTGCCGGCGGCGGTGTCCCTCTTGCCCCCGGCGGACCCCCTGCGCCAGGCGAACCGGCTCCCTATAAGGGTCCTGAAGATGCTGAGCGCTCACACCGGCCACCTCCTGCACCCGGAGTACCTGCAGCCGCTGTCCTCCACTCCCGTCAGCCCCATTGAGGTCAGTCTCCTGGTCGCTGCCCGCCCAGCGCCGGCCCCATTCCACCCACCACTGCCGGGCCCGCGGCCCTACTCCCTGCGCCCCGGGGCTCGGTGTGACGCCCAGGTCCTGCCACGCCGGCGGACGGGGTGAGGAGGGACCGAAGGAACAGGGATCGGAGTCCACCGGGTTCTCCCCAGGCTTCTCCGTGGAAGGTTTCCCCTTCCACGCTCGCCTTTCGGAGCTATGTGTTTGCTTTTGGATTGGGTTTGCTCTTGGAGTCTCCACTGGGTCCTTTACTTTTCCTCTGGCACCCAGTTTCCAGGCTATAGATGATCTCTCCTTTCCTGCCTTCCCCCCTCCGCCACCCCCCCTCCCACACACACCGGTTTGGTCTCTTTGAAGCCGAATCGCCCCCGTCCCACTCCGCCTCTGTCCCATCCGGTTAGAGCGCACTACGCCCCGGCACTCCCGATCCCAGGTCTTTCTTCCTCCCACTTCCCTGGGTGCCCTCCCCGGGAGGGAGGGGCTACTAGGAGAGCGCCAACGGCAGCCCTAGCTTTAGAATGCGCTTCTCCCGGCTCCTACCTCGCGGCGCCGCCGCCAGAAACCCGTCCCAAGCGAAGTTCCCCAAACTGAAGGAATAAGTTTTCTCCTGGGCACAGGGGAGGGGGAGATTAGAGGGTAGGGGGCGAGTCACAGCCCCTCCCCCAGCCCGACTCCAGACCAGTCACCTGCTCCCGCGGCGGCCTCTGGTGGACCACTTCCCCTGCCCCATTTCCCCGGGCCTGAGCCGCGCTCTGGGACCCGGGGGAACGAGGGATCCCACTCGGGCTCTGCGAGCGCAGTTCCAGCCTGCTGCGCCGCCCCGCCCGGCCCTTGCTCTCAGACCCTCTCCCCCAGGCCTTCCCGTCCCGTCGCGCCGCCGCCGCCGCCGGGGCTCTCCGCGCCCACCCAGCTCCCCAGACACCCCGCTTGCTCCGTCGGTTTGCCGGTCTCACCCCCTTCTCCCTTCCCTTGCCGCTGTCTCCCACAGCTGGACGCCAAGAAGAGTCCATTGGCGCTGCTGGCCCAGACTTGCTCGCAGATCGGCAAGCCGGACCCGCCGCCCTCGTCCAAGCTCAACTCGGTAGCGGCGGCGGCCAACGGGCTGGGACCGGAGAAGGACCCCGGCCGCTCCGCCACGGGCGCCGCCTCCGCGTCTGCGGCCCTCAAGCAGCTGGGAGACTCCCCTGCGGAGGACAAGTCCAGCTTCAAGCCCTACTCCAAGGGCTCCGGCGGCGGCGACTCCCGCAAAGACGGCGGTTCCTCCTCCGTGTCCTCCACCTCTTCCTCGTCCTCCCTGTCCCCAGGAGACAAGGCGGGCTTCAGGGTCCCCAGCGCCGCCTGCACGCCCTTCCCCCCGCATGGAGCGCCGGTCTCTGCGTCGTCGTCGTCCTCCTCGCCTGGTGGCTCCCGGGGCGGCTCCCCGCACCACTCTGACTGCAAGAACGGCGGCGGGGGTGGCGGCGGGGAGCTGGACAAGAAAGACCAGGAGCCCAAGCCCAGCCCGGAGGCTGCGGCCGTGAGCCGCGGCAGCGGTGGGGAGCCCAGCGCACACGGGGGTGGCGCGGAGGCTGGGGCCTCCGGGCGCAAGTCCGAGCCGCCCTCGGCCCTGGTGGGGGCCGGCCACGTGGCGCCGGTGTCCCCCTACAAACCGGGCCACTCCGTGTTCCCGCTGCCACCCTCCAGCATCGGCTACCACGGCTCCATCGTGGGCGCCTACGCCGGCTACCCTTCTCAGTTCGTGCCTGGCCTGGATCCTAGCAAGTCTGGCCTGGTGGGAGGCCAGCTGTCGGGGGGCCTGGGCCTGCCACCGGGCAAGCCCCCGAGCTCCAGCCCGCTCACCGGGGCCTCCCCGCCCTCCTTCCTGCAGGGATTATGCCGCGACCCCTACTGCCTGGGAGGTTACCACAGCGCCTCGCACCTCGGCGGCTCCAGCTGCTCCACCTGCAGCGCGCACGACCCCGCGGGGCCCGGCCTGAAGGCTGGGGGCTACCCGCTGGTGTACCCCGGGCACCCGCTACAGCCCGCTGCGCTCTCGTCCAGCGCCGCGCAGGCCGCGCTCCCCGGCCACCCGCTCTACACCTACGGCTTCATGCTGCAGAACGAACCGCTGCCGCACAGCTGCAACTGGGTGGCGGCCAGCGGGCCGTGTGACAAGCGCTTCGCCACCTCGGAGGAGCTGCTCAGCCACCTACGGACTCACACGGCCCTGCCGGGCGCCGAGAAACTTCTGGCCGCCTACCCCGGGGCTTCGGGCCTGGGCAGCGCCGCCGCGGCCGCCGCGGCCGCAGCCTCCTGCCATCTGCACCTCCCCCCGCCCACCGCCCCCGGCAGCCCCGGGTCGCTGTCATTGCGGAGTCCACACACTTTGGGGCTAAGCCGGTACCACCCCTATGGCAAGAGCCACTTATCCACAGCTGGGGGCCTGGCCGTGCCCTCCCTCCCCACAGCCGGACCCTACTACTCACCGTATGCGCTGTACGGACAGAGACTAGCCTCAGCCTCCGCACTGGGATACCAGTAACCACAGCTCTTGCACCC